GCCGCCAGTGCTGGCAGCGAATTTGATAGCGAGTCGGCGACGCGAGATGGAGTTAATGGCGCGATACTGTCGATTGCGTTGGCAAATGGACGGGCGTAGCGAAGTGGCGTTGGCACACCTGGAGCGAGCGGTGGAGGCAGTTGGTTTCCGGAAAAGCGAGCGGTTGCTAGAGATCATCGACCGGATCAACTCGAAGGAGAAGGCGACATTGGAGGAGGTGGTGTTATTGTACAAGGATCTGTATTTCGAGTTCGCCGCGCTCTGTCGACCACACCTAGGTCCGTTAATTGCGGGACATCTGATCTCATACCTGGAGGACAACGAGTTGCGATTGGTGGAGGCGGCGTTGGATTGGCGGGAGAGACGGTTATCTGCTCGTGAATCAGCAGCGGCGGCGGCGGGACGGAAGTTGAGGATGGCTTGGCACAATTTTCTGGAGACCGTCGTTTTGGAGCCGGACCTGGGACTGTCGCGGGCTGACAAGGCGGGATATTGGGCGGAGCCAGCGGCGACTCCGCGGTTGGCGCAGCGTGTGGCGCAGATTAAGGAGCGGCGTGAAGTGGCGGAGCAGCTGCAACGATTGTTGCGGACGGAGTGGGGTGTAGAAAAAGCACACGGCACGGACTTGGTGGCGAGCAGCTATGAGGTACAGCAGAAGCTGGCAGGTCCGGTGGAGGCGCTATTCGCTCAACGTGAGGAGGCTCACCTTGTTTCCGTCGATCGCGGTGTCCAGGCGACACCCTACGAAAACCAGTTTTTGCTATCGCGCCGTGTGCACGAACTGGTTGTGAAGCGCACACTCCGCGCACGCCACGGAGAAAGCAGCACCGGAACCGGAACCGAGGAACTGGGCGGCGTCGTCGCGTTTAATGTCCTCATCGCTCTCGTCCGGGAACTCTGGCGTAACCCGCAATACCGTGAAATGAAAACCGCTGCACAACTCCTACGAAGCTTGGCCGGACTTCGTTGTGTACTCGACGTCCTCTTCGTTCACTACGCGGGCAGCGACGGAGGTCCGGTCGGTGGCGGCGGTGGACCACGTGGTGGCGGACCAGGCGAGGATGGAGCGCTGGCGGTGGGTAAGCACGGGTTCTGGCGGTTTGTCGACCAGGTCCAGCTGCCGTGTGCGTTTGCGTGTCGGAAAGGCGCGGAATTGTTGCACCACTTATTCCTCAAGTTTGCGACACGGACAGGACGGAGTGAGCGTGGCGCCCGTAAGGGCGTCACACTCCCACTCTGGTACCGTTTCCTGGACGAGCTGGCCTGGCTTGTGGCGATGGTCACGCTCGTGGGTAGTCAGCCTGAATTCCGCAAGCAAGCGGGTCAAAAGAAGATCAAGCTTTCGCTTTCCTACTCGTTACCAGACCGGCGCAATTCGCTCTTCTTCTTTACCAACAATTACCTCCTCGCGCTCTACACGCGCCTGCTCGCTCAAGAAGCACCGCTGCGCCGGTATGTCAAACGGCGCGGCATCCTCGCAGCCGCCAAAACCGACGAAGATCTCGAACTCGGCTCCGAAGCGCCTCCGCCAGAAGACGGCGCCCTGGATTTCGCTAAAATCGCCAAGTCCGTCCGCTGGGAATAGTCGGCCGCCGGGATGTCTGGCGCCCGCCAGGATGTCTGGCGCCAGGAAGTTAGTGCACACACGTGTGCACTCATGTGTGTGTGCGCACGGGCGGACTAGACGTCGGTAGACGCACAGCCGCGACAGCCACAGTTGACGCACTCAATCAAGAGCTTGTCTTCCGGCTGGTCCTTCTTCGGCACGCGGCAGATGCAGGCGGAACCGAAGTTGGTGGCCGCTGCCTCAATGCACCTAACGAATTAGATGCTTACGTGACGTGGCTGCTTACTTTAGACAGCAGAGCTTTTCGAAGCCGTTCTTTTTCCATTTTGCGATAAGTCCGGCGTCTGCCCACTTTTCGCGGAGGCAGTAGTCGTAGAGTTCTCGGCTGATAGCTTTTTTGGTGTAGAACATGTCGTAGATGTATCGACTGCGTTGATTGTGCAGTTTGAATACGGGCCAGAGACTCTCGCATTTTCGTTTGCCTTCATGGGGTTCCTTTTCTGCCTGTCTCATTTTGGCCTCCAACTCCACTAAGGTAGGTTCAAGAAGGTCCCAGCCTGGTGGTGGACGCTTGCCCTTTTGGAGAGTCCGGATGTTGGGCATTATATCTCGGAGAAAAATATGAACCCCCCTCCGCCGGTAAGACAGATCACTGGTAAGGCAGAAGAGCGAAAGGTTGAAGAGAAGTGGGAGTGTATACGATACACGTATTATATAGGGAGGGTGTACATCACATGGGTGTACATCACATGTGGGCATAGTAACTTGGCGGTAGGGATGGAAGTCAATGTCGAGTGAGAGTAGGTTGGATCGAGGTCGGTGTCGTTCAGCAATGCACATAACGTGTGAGACGAATATGGAATATGACACGGTTGTGTTCAATTGGCGCGTGAAGAACTTCCGGCGTTTGCGAGAGATTGCGACGGAGAACGACTTGCCGCCGGAGGGCGACGTAATAACGAGTCCGGTATACGTTGACGGGCTAGGTGGTTGCTGGTGGATGCGGATGTACCCGTATGAGAAGCGAGAGAACCATTCTGGGAAGGTCAGTTTGTTTCTGCATACTGACCGGGCAACCTACAGTGACGTATACTTCTCCTTCCAGTTCACCGCTCTGAACATGGAAGGCAACCCCATTGAGGGCACTGTAGGCGGTGTGGAGTTACACAAGTTCGATAAGAGCGACAGAGTTAGGAACTTTGGATTTTTCGATTTCATCGACTCCGAAGATCTACTCACCCAATGCCTAGACGAAGACGGGGGCCTCTGGCTCTACTGCGAAGTTCACGTCTACTCTCATGTTGTCACCGAACTGGACACTGTCGAGGAAGAACCCACCGTCAAGCCCAGGTCCGACAACGAAATCTATCGGCAAAGACTGTGCTACTTTGGTACGAAAGCCTCACCCGACCACGGGTGAACTTTTTATAATAAATGCAATTCATTGATATAGGCTTCAATATTACCGATGACATGGTATGCTTGCACACACCATAGCACCTGCATACACCATAGCGCCTGCACACACACACGCGTGTGACACACACACATGTGTGTGACACACACACATGTGTGTGACATCCACACGCATGACTTATATGAACCAGCGAAGTTTGCAGGCCGGTATCGTGGGAGTCGGAAACACGACAGCGACCTAGAGGGAGTGATAGAGCGGGCTCGCGAGAATGGAGTAACCTATTTCCTTTGTACTGGCACAGATTGCAAGGAATCGGCGGAGGCGATTGCTTTATGCAGGAAGTTTAACGCCAAGTGGGAGAAGCCTTGTTGCTTCGCGACGGTTGGTATCCACCCGACGAGTTCTACCAAATATCGTGGTGAAGAAAGTTTGTCTGAATTGCGGAAGTTGGTTGAGGAGAACCGGGATATCGTCAAGGCGTTTGGGGAACTCGGATTGGATGCGGAACGAACCTCATGGGCTGACTTGGAGACACAAGAGCGTGCCTTTAAGGAGCAGTTGATGCTGGCTTATGAGTTAGGTCTGCCACTGTTTCTGCATAATCGGAAGACGACGGTTAGATTTTGTGAAATTTTGGAAGAGACGACAGAAATGTATAAGCTAAAAGCATCAGAGACTAAGCTGAAAGCATCAGATATGGAAGCATCAGATATGGGGTCATCAGATATCCCGTGGGGGTCATGTGTCACGGGATCAGGTCTCCTACCTGTGTCAGGTGTGGTTCATTCTTTTGATGGTGCTCGAGATGATGCTCGCCGATTCATTCGACTGGGTCTACACATAGGTGTGAATGGTTGTGGACTTAGAGAGTTGTGTTTGCACGAAGTAATTCGTGCTGGCGAGATTCCTGTCGAACGACTCCACTTCGAAACAGACGCGCCTTGGTGCAGTATCAAAAAGACCCATCCGTCCTTCGATTTAATTAAATGGGAAATAGAGAACTTGCCTGTTGTGAAGCCCGAGAAACATCAGTCAAATGTCGAAGAGATGGTTAAGGGTCGTTGTGAACCTATGCATGTCAGACAAGTCGCCGAGTGTCTTTATCGGCTACATGAACAAGGGGAACCCACCCGGGAAAAATACGCTCAGTTCTGCGAACGAATATACAGGAACTCGCTCCAACTATTTCGCTTCTAACATCTGGGTTATGTTAAACAGGTTGAGCTGGGGCGGGCTCAAAACATATAAGGCTCAAAATACGTGGGGTGCAAATAGGTTGAGCTGTGACTTTTCTGGCTCTGGCTAACTATTTATGTGGTCTAACTATTCATGTGGTCTACGACACATCCGCAGAATTAGTTAAATTAACTGTTCGCAGGACTTTGCCTGGTTGTCTCGCATTTGGTTACTTGGTGATGTATGTGGCGAATTCGTCCCAATCAATAATGCCATCATGATTGGTGTCGATGTCGTTGATAGATTTTTTGAGTTTTTTCTTGGTGGTGAGTTGTGCTTTGGTTAAGTCGTGATCAGTGGGTTTGTCGGGTCCCTGAAGGCCGGGGTCATAGCCGAGTAGTAGTAGGGCGAGGTCTTCGGTTTGGATTTTACCATCTTGGTCGGTGTCAAGTTTATTGAAGGCGGAATAGACGAGGTTTATTTCGGATAGCTTCCAAGTGTAGGCTGCGGCTAGGAATTCAGTGTAGCTGATTGTGCCGTCATTATTGACGTCGAGTGCTTGTAGAACCATGTTTATATCCCATGGTTCTAAGGGACATGGTTCGAGAGTGAGTGCGCGTCTCAATTCATCAGCGGACAGCACGCCATTATGATCGCGATCTAGATCGTTGAATAGCCGGGAGATTTGTTGTACACGTGTGTCCCGCCAGTCGAGATGATGTGCCATCATATTTATCAGTGCCAGTTTGATATCAGCTTGTTTTGTAAACTTCCGAAAATTCAACTTGATCTCACGATTAATTATTGGAAGCGGTTGATGATGACGTGGATGATGACGTGGATCATCATCCATAAGTTGAGCTGTGCTAGAGTTGAGTAAGCGGAACCATTTATGTTTTAATAGTAGTTTGGCAGATGGTCTTTTATGATGATCTTTTTGTAAACATTGCTTTATCATATCCAACGCTCTTAATGAAACATGTCCACAGTGTGCTTTGTAATTAGGTTCTTCAGAAAGTATTTTATGTTTGATGATACGAAAGTCTGATCCATTAAAAGGTAAATGTCCTGACAACAAGACATATAATAAGCATCCTATACTCCATATATCACATTTTGAATTCATACGAAATTTGAATACTTCAGGTGCCATATATAAAACTGTACCTCCTGCTGTCATAATATATTTTTCATGATTGAAGAATTCTGATAGTCCAAAATCAATTACCTTAATAGAAAGAGATCTTATGAAACCTACCGACATAATAATATTATCATCACCATCATGATTATCATCACTATGATTACCACCACTACTACTACTATGATTACCACTACTAGTACTATGATGATGATTACCACCACTACTATTATTCTTGTCACTATTCTTGAATCCAATTGAATGTGTAGCGAACATTATATTATCAGGTTTAATATCTTTATGAACAATTCCATGTTGATGAATGTAGTTTATTGAATTAATTAATTGATATATGATGTGGCATACAAATAGTTCATTTAGTAATTTACCTCTTGCCATTGAATCATTAATCAATTTTGTTAATTCACCACCATTACAATATTCCATCAATATATAAACGTAATCTTCAGTATCATATACATCATATACTTTAATTATATTAGGATGATCTAAACTCTTTAATGATTGTATTTCTGATTCTATTTCAGTAGATCCTTCACCTAATATTGATTTATCTATTGTCTTACATACACATATCAAATTCAAGATACGATCATAAACCAAATGTACCACTCCAAAACCACCCTCACCAATCTTCCGACGAAATTCATAACGCTCATAAATGTTAAAATCCTTCCTCATATTCACAAAATGACCGATGTAATTCTCTCGTCGAATTTGTACTTGCCGATCCGAATAATACTTGTCTCTAACATTCCATAACAAACGCCAATACTAAAAATTCAACAAATCCGTGTGTGTGATATCGTGTGTGCTATCGTGTGTGTGTGATATCGTGTGTGTGTGTGTGTGTGTGTGTGTGTGTGTGATATCGTGTGTGTGTGTGCTATTGTGTGTGATATCGTGTCTGCCTGCTTTACAAATTGGGCAAACTGATCCATCGTTAGCCCTCCCAATTTATCCTCATCATATTTGTTGAAGACCCGCGTCAGGGTATCTTGGTCCACTTCTGGTACTGAAAGATTGTCACAAAGTCTTTTAACGAGTCTTTGTGTCTCCTCAAAGTCCAGATAGTCGTCATTGTCTCTGTCGAATTGGTAGAAGGCATCTTTAGCAACTCTGAAGAACTCAGCTTTGTCATCTAGGGTTTTTTGCAGCTTGGCCCGAATAACATCTGGCGGTGGTGGAGGTCGCGACGAGGTGGAGGGACGACGACTGGTGAGTTCGCCTTCATCGATCTCCTCTTCAAGCCGTTCCTGATCTTCCCAGTCGGAGTCCGATCTCTCTGGGTCATACCCATTGTCATGCCGACCGTGTTCGTGGTGGCCATTGCCGTGGTCGTTGTCGCGGCGGCCGTTGCCCATTATTAGTTTAAAAATGGCCGATCAGCATTGTCGATAATTTTGAGAAATGGCGTTGACGGAAGGATTCCACGTTCCAATTGGGGCGCTGAATGACGGAGCCTTTGTGCCCATCCCTACATTCTTCGCGGATGGCGGTTTAGATTTCGGCACGCTGGAAAAGCACTTGGGGCGCCTTTGTTCGACCAAGGTCGTTGGGGTCGCATTGATGACTTATTACGGCGAAGGCGTGCATGTGACGGCCAGCGAGCGGCGGGCATACATCGCGCACGCCGCTGCGTACGTTAAGGGCCGCCACTCGAAAGCGCAAGTCTTGGTTGTGGCTTCGGCGGAGAGCACACACGCGTGCGCCGAAAATTGCAAAGAGGCCAAAAGCCTCGGCGCAGACGCCGCGCTCGTTGCGCCACCTTCAGTGTACACAAGCCTGCTGGGATGCGACGATGAGGATGATACACCCTGGCCGCACGCCATTAGACACTCTAACGGAGGCGGGGTTCGCCTCACCGAACAAGAATGTGTTCTGTTTGACTTTTATTGCGAGCTTGCGCGCCTGTCCCCCATTCCGATCGTAATTGACTGCTCAGAGTACGGAGTACCGCGTACCACACTTGTCGCTGACAATGCTGGACGTCCTGGCTCTGGCGAGGGTTGGAGCTCTGCTAGCCCTATAGTACATCCGAGTCTGCTCTACTTATTACAGCAGCAGCCGAAGATTATTGGGTTTGCGACATCGTCTCATATCCAGGATTTCCCCAATTGCACCTTTACAAACTGTAGCTTCACGGTTCTTCTCACTAACGTTGCCGCTTTGATGCACATGAAGAAGAGAAAGTATCCTGAACCATCCCAAAATACGTCACCTCGTTCCGCTCTACAGCGAGACATGAATGCGCAAAGCGATACTCCTCCAGTCTCCTTGGACACAAGTTCTCCGCCGTCGTGCAGAGTCGCTTCCATGATTACACTGAGCAATATTTGTCCTTCCATTATCCGTCATCTCGTACCCGAAACGATCAGGGTTGTGCAGGTCGGTCAGGAACCGAATAAGATGGGGACGAGTGAGACCGAAGTGTTGCCTCTATTCGAATCTCTTGAAACGTCGCCGATGGAACAGGCCCCCGAACGTAAACCAATTATTGGAGAGCGTAAACCGGATCCTTGTCCGGAAAAGTGTTCGGAGCCGTCCTGCGGCGACCCCTACCCACCTGTTGACCAATCAAGTGCCGTGGCCGAGGCAGGCACACCCAAAGTTTGGTTAGAGGAGACAGACCCAGCCGACCCAATCGCTCTCGCAGAACTGGAAAACAAAATTCTACAACTATCCTTATTCAAAGCTACTCTGTGTCAGATACTAGGCTACTCTGCGGCCGCACCCGCAGCTCCCATGAAGACTGCCAAACACGAGTCCGTCGCAAAGACTGTCGAACTGCTCACCCCTATTTATGACATCGAGACGCGAGTCGCTTCTCGCCCTTCTTCCCCCTTACAGTCATAACCATGCTGCTCAACATATATGTGTTAAACACGTACATTACCATTACAAGCTTGCAAGCACTTGCCTTGGAAGCCTTGCAAGTGCCACTGGGGTGAACTAGCGTATTATTCAATTGCATTACAGATTACATTATATAGTATACACCGCTCCCGTCCGGGGTGGTGGTCCCGTCCAGGGTGCCGGTCCCGTCCGGGGATTTCTGGGCAAGCTGGAGAACCGTTGGATTTTTTATGGAGGGAAAGTTGCTGGAGATTTCACAAACTGCGTTAAGGCTTGCATCGGGCTGCCCCCAATAGTGTGTGCACACACTTTGATCTGGGGTAATTTGCAGCCTGGACCGGCGCGGCGGTCAGCCTGGACCGGCGGTCATCCGTTTGGTGAAAGAGAGATCGTTGTCTCTCCGAGCTAGGTCTCCAACGAAGGGTTCATACCTTCGGCCGATGGCAAGGACAGTTCGGGCGCGGCCGCGACGATGGAGAAGGTCTCAGCGTCCCACATGGCTCATTTAGTTGTTCGAGGAAATTGGGTGTTACCGCAAGCATTATAACCTTTTCAGTCGTCGGCTTGACCAGGTAAGTACCGTATGGCAAGGTACCCCATGGCAAGGTGCCGTATGGCATGGTGCCCCACGAGCCGTACCAGCACAGAAGTACCTCCGGTAGGAGACTTTATCTCGGCGGAAACGTCGGCGGGCAGCCCCGTGCTAAGAATGGTCGAAGCCTAAGGACGTGAATTTTTTTATGGATGGAGAGGGTGTTAGAGAGTCGGCGCTTAAGCTGTATACCGATGTCCTGACGGGCCTTGTACAAGACCGGGCAAGCGCGTGGAACCAGTTGCGGTTCCTCATATCTTCTCTGAACGCTCAAAACGTGGAGGAGAATGACGGAGTCTTCAATATACTGGCCGACTTATGTTGTAAGCTTACTGCTGCTGGGTTATGTTGTTACTGGGTTTACGTTACTGGGTTTACGTTACTGGGTTTACGTTACTGGTGGTTGTTACTGGTGGTTGTTACTTCCGGCTGGCAGAGTCAGAGGCAAGCAGCAGAAGGGGAGGGGAAGGGAGCTTAGAGTGACGGTATGTTTGTCTAGGTGAGATTTGTTATCAGGACCTGTGTACTGGTTGTCCGGAGGAGCTGCTTGTGGGCTTAGCTCAAAGTCCATTGGCAATTCAGCTGGGATTTTGTTGTTCAGTTATACAGAGGTTGTCTAGTGAGGAGGTCCCGTCGGAGTTGGGTAATGTGTTGTGTTTCTTACAACGGTTGTTGGGCTCGCTGGCGACGCCGGATGCGCTGTTATGCAGTCTGTCGCAGGACCGAAGTGTGTGCCACACGTTGGAGGTGTTGTACAGGGAAATATACGACTTAGAGGAGAGGGTTCCCAGCGCTGCAGTGACGTTGTTTGCCGGCTCGACGTTACACCCGGGCGTGTTACTAGGTCGGCCGGAGGTGGTTAGGTTGAGCCAACATCCCGAGTTGACCGCCAGCATGCTTTTGCTCGGCGGAGCACTGCTGCCGAAGTGCTCGACAACCGAGGCGCAGCCCAGCCTCCCTGAGCTCATGGCGCTCGTCGAACGCTTCGACTGGTGCAGCGTCACCGACGAGACGGCCGATATCGAACTCGTATCCGCTTGGTTCGCCCTGATGATCCAACTAATCGTACGCCAGGTCAAGGCCGGCCAAGGCGGGGCCAACACGTTGGATGCGGAAGGGTACGAGCGGCTGTTTTATATCTGCCTATCGGCTTTAGCGATCAATCGCTTGGGCATGACGGCAAAGGTCATGACCGAACCTGTGGACGTGGGATTGCTGGCCTTAAGTGAAACACACACCACCGAGTTGACCGCGATGACTAGCGGAATCGAGGCGCTACTGTGTCTGCTGCAAGAGCACTTGGTGCCGGTAGTGGTGAAGTGCTTTGGAACCGCGGCTCCTGAGACAGCCGAAATTCGGTTGGTCGGAGATACCAATTTCGTGCGCAGAATCGTAGAATGTTCGGGAATCATTGAGACCGGGTTGGAAAGTGTTGTCACCGACTGGTTGGTAACCGACGCGCTCTGCTTCATGGCAACCAACCTGCGCTGGTATAACGTTAACGTGGACTTCGAGCTCAGCCGCGGTGCGTTGCGCTCTTACTTCGTTGCGCAGCTCGACGACGTCGGACGCACTATTAACGAAAACGTTCCCAGTACGGAGAACTGGATCCGCGCCTTCCTCCTCTCCACGCTACTCCGTCTGCTTTCCGCAGACCTCTCCGTCGACGAACTCTTACGACTCTCGCAACTGCTCGTCAGCCCCGCCTGGTGGACTCCAGACTCGCACCAAAAGCGCCTCCAAAGTGCTTACGTCTGTTGCCACCTTGTCGAACAGCTAGTGTCTGTCCAGACCGTCCAAGTTCTCTCTCCGGATGACCAGGAAAACACGCCTACCCAACCCAACGTCTTCGAACAATTCGCCGCCCGTATCGCTCAAGATCCTGCTCTCCTCCAAATACTCATCATTGTCTGGACCTGTAAGCCCCCTCCTTCCGACCCCAACTTCACTTCCCCCCCTCCCCCCGGGTTCCGTTTCCCAAGCTAATAACTTGAGTATCAACGCAAGCTGTTAAGTTCCCTGTTGGGGGCCCTGTTGGGGCAATCTAATATCTTCTTATTAGTATACGATGAGACTTCGGAAGTGGCTGTGAAGGATTGGTGTGCTTCGGCGTATGCCGCCCTGTCCAAAGCGTGCCACAACGAGGCTGGACGAGCCATCTTGGACGGATTTCAAGGGTTCATCGGTGCCCTGGAA